TTTTTTTTTTTTTTTTTAAATATATCTTTATTGATTTCAGAGAGAGGACGGGAGAGGGAGAAAGGTAGAAACATCAATGATGAGAGAGTCATTGATTGGCTGCAGCCCGCAACCTGGGCATGTGCCCTGACCGGGAATCGAACCCTGATCCCCTGGATCTTAGGCCGATGCTCAACCGCTGAGCCACGCCCGGCTGGGCTCATGTGACTCTTTGCAGTCAGCCCCCTCCTTCCAGCCTTGGCCCTTGACAAATAATGATTTGTTTTCTATGATTACTTTTGCTTTTTTAGAATTGCGTATAAATGGAATCATAGACAAAATAATATACATGCCTGGTGTCTTTCGCTTAGCATTTTCAAAAAGCATGCTCTCCACGTAAGAAACATTCAAACCCGTAGAGGTGTTTTGTGAGTTTATTTGAGCCAAACTATTGATAATTGCCAAGAAGCAAAATCTCAACAGATTGAGTTTATGCTCCAGAAAATAGCAGTTTTCCACTTTATTTTATATGTTACAATCAAAAGAGAAGATGTAAGTGTGTTACGTGAAATCCATTGGTGATAGATTAGGGAGGTGGGAGAAAGCAAAGCAGGGAGTCCTCTGGGATTGGATAAAAAGTAAAATGATAGACACACACATCTTTACATAGGTGGGTGCAGGATAGTTAATAGTCAACAACTGGTAACAATGAGGGGGTTTATGGTCTCTGCTCTGTTGCCCTCCCTGTGCTTTTAGGAGTCCAGACAAAGGAAATTACTTTGACATTCTAAAGGTATGTTATCTTGGATGCAAAGAGACAGTATTATTAATTAAGGTGAAAATTGACCTTTGTCAACGAAGATTCTAGCCTAGGACATGACTACCCTCCATAAACTGCTTTTAGTTAAAAAGTTAATTTCAGACCATCGTATGTAGTTACTTTAGGTCTCTTGAGTTTGTAAGGCTGCCATGCAGGCCTCCCCTGAGCTTGTCAGATTTAGTATGTGTCCCTTTTTCATCCACAATTCCATTTACAGTGTTTCTACAAACATTTATCTACCAAGTAAAATGTTAGGTTAAAATGGTTACCTGACAATGTTGCCAGTTTATTTACTTATTTTGCCAAAAAATATTATTTTTGAATTTTGTTCATTCTTTTAGTGTGTGAGTATAGTGTCAGAGGCTTACCTGTGTATTTGTAAAGCTATTCTAAATTGTTATTTAAAAGGAAAAAGCAAACTTCTCACAACCTTATTTTAAACTCTTTTCAGCTTCTTGTAGTATTTATAGATTTTATATAGTTTGTGGAAACATCCTCACAAGATTTTTAGACTTTTATTTTTGCACTCTTCTTATTGTTCAGCCTTTATTTGTATCCTCTAGTCAAAGTTTGATTGATTGATTTATTTTAGTTCTTTTGGTCACTGTAGGTGCAGGGTCTTTTTTTTGTGTATAAGGCTTTTCTTGTAAATTCAGTATAGTAGTCAGTGCATTCTGAAATCAACTTGCCAAGGTTTGAACCACAACTTTTTTAGCTCCTCATTTTTGTTTTGGGCGAGTTATTTAAGTCTCTAAGCCTTAGTCTTTCCATCCACAGATATGGACAATAATAATACCTCATTAAATTGTGGGTATTAAAATGAGTTGATATATGTAAGTCACTTAGAACAGTGCTTGGGATATTTTAAGCACTCAATAAATGTTTGGATCCCTTGCATATTTTTTTATTTCAGGTCAAAAAGTTTCTCTATCACAATCTGTACTCTAATTCAGGGGGTTTACCTGAACATTGCCCATAGAGATTTTCTGTCTAAGCATCGTATTTTTTATCTTTTTCTTGAGATCAGATTTCCTAGCCTGCACCAGATTTCATACATGAGGAAGCTTTGAGATTTTAGTTTTTTTAGATGTTTTAGTTTCCATTGTAGTTCTGCCTAAAAACAAGTGTCAGGGAGCTCAGAGATACAATATATCTCCAGCAGTAAAGGTGGCTGGGAAACGTTGAACTCTCTGTTGAACCTTTTGTGACTGTTTAACTCTGTAGCCTCAGGTTTGGCTGACTACCCAGAAAGCAGGAATGCTGTCCAAAGATAGACGTCAGGCCCCAGGGTTAAATGAATGTATAGAGTGTGGATAACTTCCTGATGTTATCTATTAATTTAGAAATGCATTGTTCTTTCTCGTGGTCTATGTGACTATCCACCATATGCTTTCACTATTATGCCCCTATAAAGTGAGAGACCCTGTCCTGGGAGGGGGGTGGGATTCCTGATTCCCCGCCGGCCACCACTGGGAACAGCTGCTTTGCCTGTGTGTGTAAATTTCTTCTATTAAAGCTCTTATGAATTTGAATAAGGCTACTTGTCAGTTCTTTGGAATCGATCCTGAATTTAGACTTTTGGGGCTTTCTCCCAACACAAGTATGAAAAACAAATTAAAATAAAGGTCACATGTGGCTTTGGGCTTCCACTCTTGATTGCATACAGCCACCCTGACTGAGCTGTGTAGTACTCCACATTGGTCAAAATAGATCTGTTACGCTTTGCTGGAGATGTCACGGACTTGATCTTATGCAGGACAGCTACGGACTGAATGTCCGTGGCCCTCTAAATTCATATGCTGAAACCCTAACACCCAATGTGGTGGATGGTATTTGGAGGTGGGAAGTAATTAGGTTAAGCCTCCTCCTGTCACCAGTTGTCGTCCCTTTACCCTGTTCTACCTCCCACCACCCCTCTTACTTACTGTTGTCTATGTCTATGAGTTTCTTTTTTCTTAGTCCTTTTGCCTTTTTCACACAGTCCTTCGCCCACCCGACCCCCCGACCCCGGCCAACAGCTGTCAGTCTGTTCTCTGTATCTTTGAGTCTGCTTCTATTTCATCTTTTAGTTTATTCTGGTTCATTAGATTCCACATATAAGTGAAATCATATGGTGTTTGTCTTACCAAATAATCCTAGGTCCCCAAATCTTACCTTTGCAGGCTTAATACCCTAGAGACATATCTTTAGTGAATTGTTACGTTTTCAGCTTCAGTGAAACATTGGGTTTTCAGAGGATTATCACCTTCAAGGGCCTTCCTTTCCCTGCAGATGCTGTACAATTCACCTCTTTTGACTCATATTATACACCACTGGCCTACCACACCCCAGAAACACCATAGCATTATTGGCATAGTTCTCCGGTTACCAGAGTTCTTTTACTTCAATTATATCACTTTATCCTCAAGCAATTTTATGAAGTTGTGATTATAGTGAGGGATCGGGTTCATAGAGGCTAGCTGACATGGCTAATCAGTGACAAGACTGGGATTCTATTCTGATTCCTAAATGAAGGTACTTTATGTTGTGCCATGTTTGCTAATGAACCTGAGATCTTAATAATAGACTCATTAGCTACTAATCAGAGGATCCATTGTGTGGCCTGAAGGAAACAGAGTGGTTCATGTATAATCATTCAAACATACCTTTCTCAATATATAATATCACCAGTCTTGGGTTATTAACACAATCTTTTTCATTAAAGATTTTAGTGATGTTATTTGGAACTGGCAGCCTGAGTGCAACTCAGAATCACTCAGAA